ATATTTAAACAATTGTGAAATTTAAGCAGTTATAAATTTATTCAAAGAGGTCAAAGAAATGTTTTTATTAAAAATCATCTAGAATTTGTCACTTATACATTATCATTATTATTATTTTGTTGTCTCTCAAATTTTTTTCTTTATATATATTAACACACAGATTGACCTCATTCTTATTCTAAAAATACCGATTATACTACTCTTACCTTGTAGCCTGCCTCTTTTTTTTTGGGGGGGGGGGGGGGGGGTAACTGGGGATTTAGCCCAAGTCAATTTGCCATTGAGCCACATCCCTAGCCCTAGCCCTTTTGAGACAGGGCCTCACTAAGCTTCTGAGGCTGGCCTTAAACTTAGGATCCTCCTGTCTCAGCTTCCCAAGCCTCTGGGATTATAGGTGTACATCACCACTCCCAGCCCAGCTTTTTTTCCATAAAAATGTTACATTTATCTTTGTATAGCAATATGAGGATATTTTTGTCATTGTTTTTCTTTTCTACCCCCCTACTTCTCTCAATTTTTATATTTTGTGAAGACAACTTATTATAACTCAGGCCTTACTCATCACAACATCTATTATGATGGTAGTCATCATCTTAGTATTTCAGTCAAAAAAATTAAATTATAGTTACCCTTGCCAAAAGATAAAGTATGAAGCAATTATATATTCCTTTGAAATTGTTAAGTTTGTCCCTTAAATTACCATTTAAGAAATTCATTGCAAAGTTCAGTTAGATCTGTAATTGTGTTAAATTCTGAGGCACCTGGGTCCTATCTATTCCTTATCTTTGATGAGAAGATGGTGAATGAAGTGGGAAAGATCAACAGTTTGCTTGAAAATAGCAATTAGATACACAACTGTTCTTTTACTTCCTTCCCCATGTTGCAGCCTTTCCCCTCCTATAGCCAACAAAGAAAGGTGGCAGGAGAAGCCAGCTCATGTGAAGGGTTGCTGCTACTGGTTCACTGGACTCTAAATTATTATTCAAAAGATTGAGGAACAGTGTATGGCACTGATGTAAAGTCCAATTTAAACATGACACAGAAAACATTTTTGCATTTGCACACATAAGCAAGCAATGCTGCTGTTGCAATGCCAGAAATGAAGAAACATCTCCTGCTTAATTACTTGCTCAGATGGCTAATCATTATGACATTGATGGTGACATTTCTCTAATCTGAAATGTTTGGGGATACAATAATAAGTCGATATCTCAGAAATATCTAATTTTGGTTAAAATAGTCTTCCATGTGTTCTGTTGTTGAACTAAAGCCCACTTTCTTCCAAAATATTTGGGCATACAATTTTTAAAACACTGTAATCTTGGTTTCCATGCTTTACGTTTCACCTTCCCAAGATTTATATTAAATAATAATATTCTGAGTAATAATATACAGAAGAATTATAAGTTAACACTCAGACTTATGTTTCAGCTTCTCTTTAAATGTTTTACATATTTACTCATTAGAGATGGAAGCAATAAGACCAACTAGTGCCAATATTTATTTGATGCTATTTGGCAGTTAAGCCTGATGTCATTCCTAATCAGTATATTTAACTTATTCCCTAGCATTAGAGCCCTTCAAGGATCAGAATTCAGTAATGATGCCTTTAATTGACTCTACTAGGCCTACTTTGCTAGCTGGTAAAATGGGCTACCAGTCATAATGGCTTAAAAATGGAAATCATTTTATTATATTTCTAGGTATTGGAACCAAGAGGTGTTGGGTTTAAAAAGAAAAAAAAAATGTTTAGCAACGAAAGTGATCAGTAGAGTTTAGACAGAAAGAAAGGTCCATGTGAAGCTGACAGATGAAATAAGAGTATGAGGGGTTGTTGTGAAGCTCAGTGGTAGAACATTTGCTTTGTTAGTATGTGTGAGGCCCTAGGTTCAATCCTCAGAATGAAAGGAAGAAAGGAATGGAGGAAGGGAGGGGAGGAGTAAAAACATGAACAAAGATTTTCCATCAAAGTTTGTGAAAAAAACTATTTCCTAGTCTAAATGTCTGATCATAAACACTGAGAACTGCATTTCTAAAAGCTTAGAATTTTAGAGCCAGAAGGGACCTTAAGGAATCATCTTTTCCAACTTTCTTCACGTCATACTTGAAGAAAACCAGATCTCAGAATCGATTTGCTGCCGCAGTCCGGCTGCAGCAAAATAACCGGGGGGTGACGAATAACTTGTGCAGATGGATACAGCAGGAGTAGGAGCCGTTTATTGCAGGACAGGAGCAGTATTTATACATTCCACACAGCTTATCTAATTAGCATAAACTAGATACATCAGTCAACCAATAAGAAATCTCCACACTTAATGGCTCGCTGGTGTTACTTCACAAACCACTCCCTCTGGCATTTTGCCAGGCGCCATCTAGACTTGTTTACAGACTCTAACAATTCTCTGGCAAAATGCCAGGCGCCATCCTGACTTGTTTACAGACCTTAACAATTTGCCCCAAATCTCAGAACAAAAATGGCTAACATTGAGACTCTTTTAACCTCTTTTCTTTTTCTAGTAAAAATCATTGGCTTGCTCCCTACTCCTGATGGACAGAAGTTCTTGAATCTTTCTCTTGGTTGCTCTTGAAGAAATCTAAGGAGGTTGGGGTTTTAGACCTCTGGATTCTCCTCTGGCTGCCATGATCCTACTTTTTGTAGCTTGAACAAATCATTTCTCCAGATTTTGATGTGGGGGAAAAAAGTTACTAAATGCTTTCTCATCTTTAAATACAACAGGTATATATAAGCAGGTGATTGTCTGAGGTAGTAAACCAAGTAATAAAAAAGGATCAGATCATTAAGTGATCTTACTACATTTTGAGTGACTGGTAGCCCTGTGTTCTTTCTAGAAATATTTGCAACTTTAAAGGATAATACTTAAACACCATTTATTTGGTATAAATTTTTAAAAATGAACAAACATTTCAAGAGTGGGAATGTATATGTGAGACCCTAGGGTCAATCCCCAGCACCAAAAAAAAAAAAAAAAAACAATCAATGGGTAGGGATTTATTGGTGCCCTGGGTAAGTCATCCTGGCCTAGGATGCATTCAACACCCCTAGGCTATTACTGTTTTTCATAATCTCTTTTCTTCCTCAGTTTGTTAACTCTAAGAAGTCCCAAACTTTCTCCTTAATGATTGTCATTGGCCATAGAGGTATTTGGAAGATTTCTGCTTGTAAGTACAGATCATTTATAATTATGAAGTTATGAGTCAGATCTGCCTATATTTGCTAATTATATTAAGAGGAAAAGAGAGAACAAAATGTTTTTGTTGCTTCTGCCTGGTCTGGAATTTCAGGGAAGTAAAGGAACACTCTGGTTATCCAGAGCCAGATTGACTGTTAAAGTTCAAGCCATCATTTTGACATTTCATGTTGGACTTTCTTTTTGTAAATCCCTCTTCACATTACTAGCACTGGTCTTAGAGCTCAAACTGTTTCAAAACCATAACATTTCTTAGTGAGTGATTGATCTGTATTATGTGTCCAGCCATCAGGGGAATCTTGGGATGTTGCTTGTATAAACTGTAATCCAATCTGATGCTGTGCCTTTAGTTACAGTCTTTCATAGACCTATTGGCGATACTCAATCCTCCTGGACTTGGGAATAGGGCTTATCTGATACCTTCAGGGGGAAAAAAAATCCATTCATTTTTCTCTCTTCCCCACTTAAATAACTCAACACATCTGGTAACACTGTAGGATCATTGTCCTTCCAGTTCCTCTGCAGCTCATATTGCTACAATATTTCTTAAGTATTTAGTTACCTAAAGAACAATGTGATTAAAATATAAAAGACTTTGTATAGGTCTTACAAATTAACCCATCTCTAGAGCTAGAAAAAAAATATGCCTTTAATCAGCAAAATTACCATATCGACAGCCCTGTATGTGTTAGTATGAACGTAAACAGAAAAATGTTAATGTGTTAAAATTTTAAAGCAAGTCTTTTTACAAATTAATGTAATTTGCCTCTAAAGAAAATGTTTATGAAGTGCCAAATACCTGAGACTGAAGTATCCTTTGGCTTAATAATGTCTTCAATTACAAGAATGATAAAAGCTGAAACAAAATCCTTTAATTCAATCAGGGCTGAGCTAAATTTTTAGGAAGCAAAGAGTGGAAATCAGATACAGGACTGCATAATGTAGGAAGTTAAATATACCAGATATTAAGACTTCGTAAGAAGCGGATGGGGTTTCCTTGAGGAATGCTTGTTTGAAATGGCTGTGTTGAACATCATCATTAATACCACTATTTTATTATCTTGTGTTAAGATGTTTTATGCAAACAAACTGTTAACTGTGCCATAGTTCCAGAGAGACCAGTTACTGTTTTCTGCTTGTTTTACATTCTGGAATAAGTTCAAAGCTTTTGATTTTACTTGAGTCTTGAAAATAATACAGGTTTGATGAATATGATCTCAATATTGTGGCTCTGTAAAAATTTTCAGTGTTTGCAGAACATTTGACCCAGGGGCCCTACACCACATATATCCATAGTGCATTTTAAGTATTACAGAATGAACACATTTGAAAGATTAACCATTCTCTTACTGCTGCTTTTCTTTCTGTATTAAGTATGAGAATTAGCATAGTAATGGCTCCCAGAATGGGAATACTGAAAAAGTATCCACCTGACAGAAATAAACATGCAGAAAATAAATTGAGTTAGGATCGAATTTGTTATCTGAAATTTAAGCTCATGTTCAAAATGGCTATTACTGGATTTTCATGTACATTAGTTAAATGCTAAGCTTAAAAGATTTTTTGGGGGGCTTGAATTATAACTGAAAAAAAAAAATTGGATCGCAGCTTTAATATCCAGGTGGGCAGTGCCATTTGCCAGGATCTTTGAACATAAGTCCTGTTTTTTGTTGTTGTTTCTCTCAAGCACAAATCCTGCCTGCCTTACTAAAAATCTTCTGAAGGATGCTGAGGTATAAATGGTGATATATTTTCTTAGTGTCTCTTCTAATTTTTTCTTTGTTTTTTTAGGTTGTGGAACTTTTAGCAAGTGCTCTTATGGACTTGGTACAAGGAGTATACCATGAAAATTCTACTTCAGCCAAGGTAAGGATTTCAGAGTCATTGTAAAAACCTTAGGTTAGAAATGCTCATGGCAAAACTAGAATTGAAAAGCTAAAAATGTCAATCTTGTTTTATGTTTAAACTGCATGTGACTTCTTTTTTTTTTTTTAATAAGATTAGTGTTTTGGCTACAAATTCATGACCATACACTTAGTACAGGCCAGATTTAGCCAATTAAAACAACCTCTTCTCCTCTGGATGGATTTGCAGTCTTTTCAATCTACAGCAACCCAGTAGACATGGGAAGCTTGTAGCTAGCAGGTAGCCCTGTCCCTGATGGGCAGGCTGGAGAAGCAACTTGTGCCTATATGAATGGGCCGAGACTTTCCCCTGAGGAAGGAGCTCCTGTATCCCAGAAGAGTGGACCATGAGCCCAAGACTATGGCTGGCTGTGAGTTGGGGGAGGAATGTCTTTTATATACAAGATCCAAAATTTACTACATTATTAGATTCTCCGTGATGAGAAGTAGGATGGTTGCACAGTTGGATTATTTTAATTTTCTGGGTCTAGAATTAAGGGGGGGGGGGGTTGACTCATTTAGCAGAACATCTCAAAAAAGGTTAGGTTTTATTTCCTTAAAATGCAGTTATTTCATTTCAATAGGAGATTAGGTATGAAGTAATTGCTTCATTGACCACCACCATCATTTACCAAGCTATATACTATTTATAAGGGACTCCTCTCTCAGTGTTTCATTATTCTAACTTCTTTAACTTCTGCATTAGCAAGATTTCACTCACTGCAAATTAGAAAAAATATGCATGTATGCACATATGAAACATTAACATTTCCATTTGAAGAAAAGAGACAAATTTTACTAGAAGTGAAATGTAGAGCATGAACAAGTTGAATTTAAAAAATTTTAAGTATAACCCAGGGACTCTGTATGGTTCAGAGACTGGTTAGTGAAATATGAAGAATTGCACCTTGAACATCTGCTAACATTTGATTCAGGGAACCACAGTTCCCAATAGGCCCATCTAATCTTACCTAAGCAGCATATTGATATGTGGGGGCCTCACAAGATTTATAACCACAGTGGACCCTCTGTGGGGTTTTTCAAAGACAAGCATGGTTCTCTACTTTGACTGAGGGTCAATGTCATAATGTAAAATGGGTGACTTCTGGTATAGTTTCATTTATAGAAAGTCGCCTTGTATGTAACATGGTATGATGATAGCTAAACAAGTAACATTGTGGTAAGCCATTTGTCTGTGTTTCTTCCTTTAATCTTCATAAAAATCATGAGCCATAGATCCTACTACTACTCCCATTTTGCAGATAATGAAAACTAAGGTTTAGAAAAGGTTTTCCCAAGACCACACAACTTGTAAACTGGGATTTGAACTTCAGACCCCAGGTTCTTAATCTCTTGTTCTACTGCCTCTCTACCTTAACTGTACTTTATTTGGTAGCCTCCATCTTCCACACCTGAAGTCTCATCATGTGTTGATGACTGACTTATTTGAGAGTTGAGGCATTGCTTTCCCTTGGGATACTTCCAAGGAATTCAACTTAGTTCAATAAAAGATCTTAATATTTTATGCTTAAATGCCTAATCTTTAAGTGAAAGTGTTATGGTTGGTTTAGGCTCTTAATTTATCCACTCACCATTTATCTACTATAATTAGCCCAGTTCATTAATAACTTTGTGAACATTTGTTAAGTACTTTTATATGTCAGGCAGACCTAATAAAAACAACAATAATAAATGATTAGATAGCACTTTACAATTTACTTATGCTTCTTTGTTCACAATCACCTAGGCTGAAAAGGGAGACATTTGTCAGTAATTTCATTTTATAGAGGAAAAGCCTAAAATTCAAAAATGACGAATGGCAGGAAAGCACAGTATCTGAAAATTGTTAGAATTGTTAATGTTTAAGTGTTAGATCTGAACCAAGTGTTTTGATTCCAAGTCCATGCTTTCTCAAATATAATCTGTTTCCTCCTGTAAAAGAGAAAAGAGAGAGCAACAAAGACTTTGAGGGAGTTGCTCATACTGGGAACAGCCACTGAGAAAGCACCATTTGCCGACTCTCTCATTAGTTAATAAATTTTACTCAAAAGAATCTGTAGTGGGGGCTGGGATTGTGGCTGTGTGGTAGAGGGCTCGCCTAGCACTGGCGGGACCCAGGTTCGATCCTCAGCACCACATAAAAATGAAGGCATTGTGTTGTGTCCATCTACACCTAAAAAACAAATAAATATTTTTTAAAAAAGAAAGAAAAAAAATCTGTAGCAATGCTTTGTTCATCTGGCCTTTTTTCCTACCACCTCCCTGAATAGAGTCTTTTAAAACATTTGAGTCTTTATTTAAGCAATGAAGTTTCAGAATATAGTTAAGCCATTTTAAAGCACCATTCTTTTTTAATAATGGAAACAAAAATGCATAGTTTAACCACAGCAGTGAGAATGCTTCTTGCTGCCTTCATTTATGCCCCAGGTTCAATTTAGGTTAACCACATTTCCCTTCCTAACCAAAAAATTTCTGCGTCATCCCGCCACCCCTGCCCCCAAGCATGCTTGCCATTGCAATGACTTTTCAGAATTTGGTTTTTCTAACTTGGTCCAGGAATTGCTTCAGAAGCAAAGTGAGGGAGCACTGCCCCCACATGGAGTGCCTTCAAGGTTTTCATATTAGGACACTAACAGGGTAGCAGCCACAAGCAGAGGTCATGTGGGAAGGGAGGCCAACTCTGTGGGTCTCTGTTGCACAACCTCCATAGCCTGGGGCCAATTCAGTACACAAAAGAATTGCTTTGGATTTAAAATACACTGGAAACCATTCCTTCTCTCTAGGGGTAAGAGGACACAATAGCAGTCTGTTTTCTATATAGCAACTTAATGCAGTGATGGAGAAGTGAGTAGTAGGAAACTAGGTTTCTGTAGAGTGGTATCTACATGCCTAAGGTGGATACATTAAAGCAAAGTGAGGGAAAATGGAACTAGATACATTAGAAATCACCTTCTCAAACTGTTCGTAAGTTTATGATTACTTAATTCTCTTTAAAGTGTGACAATTTATGTGATTAAGTTACCAATACTTAACATTGTAGATAAATTGTAACCATGAAAACATGCAGAGTACTTTGTTCCACCCATTGAAAAAAATATTTTTATTTTTGTATTTGCTAGTTTATGAACCATTTTTTCCTTAAAATAGAAATTAGCTGTCGTGCTTTTTTCAGCATTTATCAGAAAATATTTTCCCTCTGTTTTTTATAAGGTAACTACTTGAAGAAAGAAACAGGTTAAATAGAAAAATTGCACTTTAAACTGTCATTTGCCATTCTAAGGGTTCCCCAGATAAGCTCTGCCTTATGTATAACACTCATGTATTCACTATACCTGCTAAATATATTACATTTTAACAAAATTGACTTTGGTTCCACTCTTTAGTAACTGAAATCTTTTCAAAATTATCTTATTGTTATAACTTATTTGTTGGTTAGAAAAGCAAATATATGTTCATTAAATGAAAAAGTTAAAACATAGAAAAAGGATGAAAGGAAAATAAAAATCATTTTATATAACCATCTTCCAGAAATGAGTAATGATATATAAAATGATATGCTTCTCTCTAGTTTTCATTCCGTATTTCTCACATTTTTGAGATATTGCTGTATATATATTAAATTTATTATCTCATTTTACTTTATTGTCATTAGAATTTTTCAAAAATATTAATGCCTATTTAGTATTTCTTAATTCTAGTATACTATATTGAGCCATTGTATAATTTTAGATGCTTTGTTTATATTTTTAACTAACTTACATAATATTGTGATAACAACTTAGTATATATATCTTTGCTTTACTTTTCACTGTCTTTTAAAATCCTGAAAGTGAGTGCGTGCGTATAATCTCAGTGGCTAGGAGGCTGAGGCAGGAGCATCCCAAGTTCAAAACGAGCTTCATCAGTTTAATGAGGCCCTAAGCAACTAAATAAGACCCTGAGTTTAATCCCTGGTACCAAAAAAAAAAAAAAACACTGAAATTGAGATTCTTGAATTTAAAAACTATGAATATTTTCATATGTATCCTTTTACAGAAGATGATTACTTTCCTTAGGAAAGCCTACTATATAGTTAGCCTGTGACTGTCATCTCTGAGAACGTGGATTTTAGGCATGTTCCCACCTTTTTCTGATAAGAATGACCCAGGGTACCTATACTGTTTCTGTAGACCATGTGGTTTATGCCAAACACCTGCTCTCTTTCTGGGAATTTTGGTACATGCTCTGCAAATGCTGCCTACTTGACCAGCACCAATAAAAATCATGAGCATTGAGTCTTCAACAAATTCCCCCAGTAGACAGAATGTCTTGTGTATTTTCACAACTAATTGGTAGAGTTAGGCACATCCTGTGTGACTCACCTGATGTGACTATGCGATTTCAGCTGATGGGACTTTCCCCTTGCTGGTTTTACTTTGGATTCTTTCTCCAAATTTTTTTAAATCTTAACTTTTAATTTTGACTATATGCTGGATACCATGAATCATCCTAACAAATCATAAATCCTGGGGGTAGTCTGGAGGACCCAAAGTATAACTATTTTCTGATACTTTACTGTCTATTTCCCACCCATTCCTCTTTGCTCCTAAGAAATCTAACTAAGGTCCTTTGCAAAGGCAGTGTCTGAGTCAAGTTAGTGTTAATAAGGGGAACTACGCACCTCTTCCCACTCTTCAGAGGTTGTGTCTCATAGACTTGGCCCAGACCCAAGAAAATTAGAGGATTTTAAAGAATCAAATTAACCAGAGAAAGAATTGGTTTTAAAGTTAGTGAAATTGTAAGCCATGCGCAGTGGCAAACACCTGTAATCCCAATGTCTCTGGAAGCTGAGGCAGGAAGATCATAAATTCAAGGCCAGCCTCACCAACTTAATGAGGCCCTAAGCAACTCAGTGAAACTCTGTCTCTAAAATAAAATACATTAAAGGGCTGGGGATGTGGCTCAGTAGTTAGAGTGTCCCTA